TATATATAGAGAGAGAGAGAGAGAGAGAGAGAGAGAGAGAGAGAGAGAGAGAGAGAGAGATTCGTTAGAGACCTATTTTACAGATGATGAGGCACAGAGAAACTAAGTAAATTATGTGAAGTAAATATAGCTGTGAAGAGCCAAACCAAGATTCAAACTGAGCTCTGATTTCAGAGCTCTTATCCCTGCACTGCGGGAGAACCACTGGGAGGTGTTGCCCAGGCAGTGTGTTAGCAGGCCTGGAGCATGGTTCTCTCATTCTGACCGCATCAGAACAACCAGCAGAAACTGTAAAGGATCAAAACTTATGGCCTGCTGTCTAGTTCGTCGGACACCTATGACAGCCTCAGAAATCAGGCTGGATTTAGGAATGCAAGCTCTCTTTCCTCACCAAATCAGCTCTTCGCAATTCACACGCTGTATGTTCACAGCCTGTTGATCAATCTACTGCACCAAAGAAGGTCAGTTCTAAATTTCCTAATAAAACTATCAGAATGATTAAAGAGGTCCAATGGCTGTCAGAAAAATATCAAAAATCAATCTGATGCTTGAGTTGTCCCTATAGGTTTATACACTCTTTCTTGTTACAGGGTAAATGACAGCTATTTGGCTGTTAATTAATGTTATGCAATTGTTATTAGGGAGGCCCAACATTTAGACATTCTTAATTGCTTGAACTCTTGGGCTAATTAAGGCAATTTTTAAGGGGCTATGCCAGGAATCATAGCATGTTTTTATACCAAATGTAAAAACACAAGGCACAAGTTCCACGCTGAAGGTAATTCTAAGCACTTAGCATAGGTCTTTCCAGAGAACACCCAGTGTACTAATTTAAGAGGCCCAGAGTTACCTACCAAAAGGCTGTAGAGCATGATGTTTTCCATAATCAAAATGGTTTATTATCTCAAATCATCATTTGATTTTTTCATTTATATGCCAATTCACAGAAACGTAAGCATATCACTTACAAAACAACCTACAATAACTAAGTACAAAATAGTACAAGCCTGTCTAAATATTGTACACTACTACATCTAGCTTATTACGGAGCTCAAAAACAAGGTGGTTTTCACAAATCATCATGTAAATGTTGATTATACACATTACCTGATAGGAAGTTCCTTCTAGTTTTTTTCCTGGAAGAGTATGTATGTTATTACTCAAAAAAAAGCCATCTTCATTTAGATCTGTGAAAAGAAATAAATGCTACATACAGATTATCAGAAATTATACTATATACAAAGTTTATGTACAACTTATACTCATTTTTTTAGCTTATTAAGGCTAATCTATATTGGCTAGAACATAAATATTTATTTTCTTAAATATATACTACTTTTTAAAAGAAACAGAACAAAATAAAATAGAAATTTAACAAAATAACAACCAAGAGTGCCACTGCCCAGTTGTGTACCTGAGCAAGCCATGGAATCTCTCTGGGACTTCGTTTCTCTCTTGGTAGTAAAAGGATAGCATACTAGCTACAAAAGCCATTTCTAATTCCAAAATTCTGTGGAATGCTTAGCAAGTTATCACCTCACTTGTTTCTGTTAAACTAAGATTTCCACTCCTGGCTTTTTGAGATTCATTACCTTAGGTCTTCTTAACATGAATTATTTATGTCAAAATGGTTCTATGCTTGCTTTAGTAAAAGCTTTGGAATGTGGCATCCATTTGCTGGCAGCTAAATGAAGTCTTTCCAAAAGTAGCAGCACTTCCCTTTCAGCCCCCTGTAAAAGGGGCTTCATTTATTAAAATCTGAAATATACAGTGTGTTAAAAGGAGGACTTTATGGACCACTTAATTCAAGTCTCTTATGTTATAGATGAGGATACCAACACCCACAGAAATCACCCGGCCACTAGACCAGTGGCTTTTCCTTTCACCTTCACTCCTTTTTGCTTGCAACCACGGCTTCAATCACTATTCCTTATTCTCATATTCTGCAGGGAATAAAAAGGACAGGCAAGGCCTATCCTCCATGCATAGTATCACTCCTTTTTGCTTGCAACCACGGCTTCAATCACTATTCCTTATTCTCATATTCTGCAGGCAATAAAAAGGACAGGCAAGGCCTATCCTCCATGCATAGTAAAAAAATAGGTGCAGATATTTCTCCAAATCCCCATTCATAGCTATGGTTAAAAGATATTTTAAATTCACAGCTTAATCCCAAACTTATTTGCCCCAATAGCTTAATATTTAAAGTCAGGGTAACCATGCTACAGGATTCCCCAAAGCAGCTAAATTTTAAAATGAGCTGGTTCTGTGAACTCGTTCTTTGAAGACGAGATCTTCCATCACAGGGTAAGGATACTAGAAACTGAGTTTTTGGCTGCTTGTGAGTTTTAGTTTCTGTATTTAGAAAAAATAATTTTTTTCCTCCCTTCCTTTGCTCCTTTTCATCACTTCTCTTTTTTATGCCTTTACTTTTTAAAAATTAAATGTGTGGTCCTTGAAAATTAACCAGAATGGTAAATACATTTGTGACTTCATACATTTGTCATCTTGAAATGAAGGTGTTAGGTATCAAACCAATTTTTTAAAAAAAGAATTAATAAGTTCCTTAAAAAATCAAGACAAAATATTTAGATGCTTGCTCTAAAGAGGCTGACCAAATAATGATATTGATTAAAATTCAAGAGGGAAAGGAGGTTTCATATCAATGGTAATTTGGATGGTAGACTAGAAGGCCCTAAAAATACATCTCTTCTCCCAATAGATTTCTCCTTTGATAACAAATCGAACCAAAACCATATGTGAAAAGGATTTACTTTTAAAGTAATTGTGTGGCAATGTGGGGGCTGTTAATACTCCTTTCATTACTGACCATGTTGCCTCACCTTATCTGGTTCCTTACATTTTTTACTAACATATGTCAATTTTTTTTCAAAAATTTTTAATGAAACAGTCACAGTCACACTTATTGTTTGAAAACTCTCTAAATTCCCAAATATGTTTTGTTTCCTTTTTACTATTTTTAAATGTTCTTTTGTTTTTATATTTTATACTTCCTGATATAAAATATATTGTTTGAAAACTCTCTAAATTCCCAAATATGTTTTGTTTCCTTTTTACTATTTTTAAATATTCTTTTGTTTTTATATTTTATACTTCCTGATATAAAATATAAAAACCCTGTTTTTAAAACTATACTTATTTAAATCATAACTTAATCTTGTGTAAATTCCAATTTATAGAGTTAAAAAGACTGTTCTCAGGGTTTGGTTTTTTTTTATAAAATTAAAGCCAAAATAAAGATTTTAAAATTGACCTTAACCTACTGAAATGAATATTATGAATAATCTCACAGTTTATAATGCAGAAAATAAAATTAACATGAATTACAGATTAATTTCTCTCGACACCTAACTTAATTCTAGTTTTTTAGTTGTAAAATCCTAAGCACTCAATTTATCTTACATTTATTTTGCAGATGTAGTCTCCTAATAGTACAGATGTAGGTTTAGATAAAATTCCTCTTAGAAAAAGGAAATAGACTAGATAAACTAAAAACATATGCTTCTGGCACTCAACTTATTCTGATAAATTTTGTTGTAACTGATATAGCACATTCATATTGTCAAGCTATGTGAATATTTTTATGGATTAAAACACCAGACACAAATCCTCAGCTGAATATAGCCTGTGGAAATGGAAAAAGCCTCAATACTTTTTAGGGCTGAAATGCTATTGATATAATATATGTCACCTAGAAATACTATTTTAAAATTGAAATTGAGGGAAATGGCCTTTTTTTGTCTTGGAGTTTGAAATAGATTCTTTAGGAGTTAATGTCATTCCTACCATTATTTCTCTATATATCTTCTGCTGTTTTATTGAGGTTTTCTTTACAATTTTATCATTAGTGCCCAATAAAATCATGGGCTGTGATGAAAGCAATGATGCACATTCCCATCTTAATCTCACTAAACTCTACAGACTGCCTACTCTCAGGCACAGTAAACCACTCTTAAGTAATTATGCAATTAACAGCTAAAAAGTAATGTTTAAAATGAGAAAGAAATATTATGGGTTGATATGTGGGGCACTAATTGCTTAGGAATATTCTGAGCCTTCCAAATGAAGCTACTACACTGATAAAATTCAAGTCTACAAATTGCAGTTCTCCCTCCTCCACTGAATTTCTCCCTTCAATTTATAATGGCACCGACAGCCTTGGTCTCAGGCCATCAACTCTTCCTAGCATGGCAGTAATCCCTAGGAAGTGTGCTATGACTCAACTGCTACTGCTGAAGTGTCAGCTGAACTTCTTACATACACACGTGCACGTGCACAAACACACACACGCACGCACGCTGAGCATGGTCACTCAAGGACCTGAGAAATACCAGAACTAGGAAATACTCCATAAAAGCTTCCTTTTTTATTCTCTGACAAAGAACAGATGAACAGTCAGAAGCACCTCACCTGAGGTCAAAATCCTACACTTTACCAGTGTAGCTATAAAAGAATTACCTGCCTACTACTCCTAAATTTAAAAACAAACAAACAAACAACAACAACAACAACAACAAAAAAAAAACAATTTTAACTGAAAGGCAAAATTTATAACTAAAAATAATCTGTGATACATTTATACCTTTTTATCCATAGATCAACATACAATAATCTAAAGTATAACGTGCTTATTAGAGAGATGGATGGATGAATGGATGGATGGTTGGAATAAGCAAACTGATAAACAAACAAATGAATGTTTGACTGACTGAGGATGTGGACGAGTATAGCTGGCATCCATGTGATGAAGACCAAGTTCAATCAAAATACAATAATATTAAAACATTCCCTTTGTTGTAATTTAAAAAATATTCAAATAATCCTAAAATGTTTCATTTATCTATTTCTATTAAGAAAATTTTACATATTTAAAAGTTCATTTAAAGTTATTTACCAACACCATCAGCTCTGGGCCCCATGAATATGTATAATAAATAAAAATAAAAATAAATAAAATTTGTTTAAAAAATAAATAAAAATAATAGGAAAAAGTTATTGACTAAAAAAAGATGCACTAAGATGTTATATAATCTTGAATAAAGTCGAAATATTTTAAAGGAAAATTATTATTTTTGCAAATAATTACTTTGTAAATCTAAGAGCTCTGTGAAAAAATAAAATGCAAAATCTGAACAGAATATATAATCAAACGATTAAACCCCTAACTATAAAAGTGCATTAAAATTCCCTTTGTCTCAAAATATTAAATATTTTTTAGGTGAGGATCAGAAACTCTTAAATTATCAATAACCTCTTAAATTATCAACCATAAATAAAAATACGTTAAAATAAAAGTACATTACAATTCCCTTTGACACAAAATATTAAATTGTTTTTTAGTTGAGGATCAATAAACTCAAATTATCAATAATATCATTATTTTTGTTCTAATAATCTTAGAGGAAGAATACCAAGCAAATTAACTATTCATGCTGTTGTTTGTCTTTACAAACATTTGAGACTTTCTGTTTTATTCATTACTTTCCCCAAATTAAGTAATTTTGATTATGAAGTCACTTATTATTAATAAATTCTTTTATACCTGACTGCTAATTTGCTCTTCCTGGGAACTTTTAAATTATAAAATGACATAATATTGCATTAATAATCAAGGTTATTTCTCAATTTTTTTTTAGTAAACCTGAGTATAAGAACTATTAATATACTGCTGTTATCTTTAGAGGGTTTTATATGTCCTGATTTTTAATATATTTTAAAATTCTTTTGCACATTAAAGACTTTCAAGTATTATTTGCAATGATTCTTTGCTTCAACAGGCAACTTAATTAGATTCCACTTTCTGTATGTTTATCTACATGTGTATATGTACATATACATACATGTATATATATGCATGTGTATATTAACAATCTATAACAATATATATTTTATTCTATCCTATTTGTTTTTGGCTTCAACAGGCAACTTAATTAGATTCCACTTTCTGTATGTTTATCTACATGTGTATATGTATATATACATACATGTATATATATGCATGTGTATATTAACAATCTATAACAATATATATTTTATTCTATCCTATTTGTTTTTATTTTTTAAGTAAACTACAATGACCTGGTTATTTTAATGGTGAAAGATGTAAATTTTTCTTACCCGTGCTTTAAATTACTTCAGGAAAATGCAAAGTCAGCTGAACTAAATTTAGCAATTACCTTTTAGCTGACAGGGCCTTCTGATGTGGGAGTCATTCTCAAGCTTGCTGGGTTCCTGACAGATTGTGTCATTCACAGCTTTTTCTTCTAAAGTAAAGCAGAGGATTGATTAGCAGAATTCACCGTAACATCTGTCCAGTAAGTATAAGAAACTTGCAATCAAAACAAGTTCAACACACAGTTGTGACTTGGTTAGTGATATATTAAGAGAGTTCTGTGGCCCATTCTGGGGGGTTCTAGTCCCATTTGGCAACCCCAGGTGTGCTGGGGCTGCTGATTTATTTCCATGAACTACATAAGTACCCAGGCATATAAGGTGGAAGGCTGTTGCTCAAATGCCTCTCGATAGCTTAGGATTGCATTATTCTTTGAAGTAGTTGTCTTGAATTCATAACCATTTGGTTTTTATGCATAAGTTAAAGTAACCCCACCCTCCGCATTCCCCATTATTTTTAACAAAATGACTAAGTAGGCAGAGAGAACACTGAGTTGTAATAGTTTCAAGAAACCGTTAGGATCCTTGAATGGGAAGACCACGGTATGCTCAGCCTTGTCCTCCCAACACCTAAAGCAGGGCCTGGACATGTGAAGAAATGAACTGAACCAAATGAAGGATTGGAAGCCCTTCTATTCTCCTTACCAGAGATTAATCATTCTATCCTATGCTGATAAAGTAAATTTTAAATAATGCAACCAAAGCACAGCATGGAAACAAACTCAGCATACTGTGTTGTTTTTAATGTCATGTTTTGATAATAAAAAGGCAGTTGATCATCAAGAATTACATTAGGAAGGAAACATCACCATTTTGTATGCACAAATGGAATAGCCTGCTATGAGAATGAATCCAGAAAGAAAATAAAATTTTGCTTTACTTTCTTTTATTTAAGACTATGAATGATTCAAATGAGGGCTGGTGTTCAAAATATTCAACAACCAGCGCCTGCAAGACTCTGCCTAATGAGAAAGGGCCCAGCGCCATAGATGCCACTGGTGGAAGAATATCCAATCTGATTAAAATGCAGGTATTCTTGTGAGATGCACCCTTTGAGGATTATCAGACCATTGAGGATTATCTCGGTCAGAATGAGCTTTTCAGATACTAGCAGGAAATTGGTTTTGAAAAGAGAGGGAAATGGGTTTGAGCACCTGACTCCTAGGCTGTGCTGGAAAGAAGGAAAGGAGATAGGATGCCCACAAGTTTAACACACTGCTTAGGAAAACGAATTCTTGACTGGATAATCTCGATGTTTTACCATGGTGAATATTTTATAATTACTGACTCCCTATATTCTGTAAAGGAAGGAAAGAGATTATTCATTTCCTTTTTTAAAGTAATAAAATCAGATTTTTACTTTAGAATTAGGATAAAAATCAAACCAATTGCCTTTATTATTACTATAAATGTTATAATCACAGAAACTAATGACAAGATCTGGTGTGCAAAATGCTGTGGAAGAGTGTTCTGTAATAAAACCATCTTCTGCCACTTTTTTATTTACTTCTAGGTTCATAGATCTGAAAAGATCTCTAACAGGTCGCATTGACCATGGACCAGCCAAGCTAAATGTGGAGAGCTGGAAGATAATCTACCAATAAACCACGGAAAACAACTATTCTTTTTGAATATCAAGGGAAATTTTTTCAAATAAACCAATGATTTTTTTGTCTCAGCCACTTAAAGTTAGATTAGAACCACATTTTTTAAAAAATTGCTTCTGTAGAATTCAAAGACAACTCAACCTGACTTTCGATAATTACTTATTGTTGCTCTATGGCAGAAGCAGAAGAAAAGAACTTTTAGGGAAACAGAATACATCATTTACACAAGCAATCTTATGAATCACTAACCAAATATTTTATTTTCAGATGTAAATCTCTGGAGTGACCTAGAAGAAAGGAAATAGATATTTAAGTCTAGATTTAATAAATAAGACTTTAATCAAACACGATTTAGAATGTTTGCAATTCCTTTAAGAGCAGAAATAAATTCTACCTCTAATTAGGGTTTGCCTATGGTCTAAAGTTTTCCTGACCCTAGGTGGCAAATTACATTTAATATAATTATAATCTTGGTCTGGAAATTTCCAGAAATATGGAGATACTAACATTCATAACATCTGGAAAAAAAATTGGGTCATTTCTACATGAATGTATCTCATGATAAGCAAATAGTTAATGGGGAAAATTCTTTTCCAAAGATTCTGTTTAATAAATACAGGAAGAATGATGTAAATGAAATATAATCATTATGCAATCCATAATAAAACAATAGGTCTAGAAAATAATCATCATTTGCTGCTAAAGCCTTTAGTTGAAAGGCTAGTGGGCGACTTTATGCTGGATGGATCAATTCGTTACCATCTAAACCCACTGAGCAATAACCCGTAACAAAAATAGAGATGGCCAGATATATGGCTTGTAATGTGATGCAACAGGAAGTAAACAGTCACTGAAGACCTACTTTTAAGTATATATACATATACATCGAACTTGACTCTAATCACGCCTTGAACTTTAACTAAAAATTTACAGGAAACAGAGTATAGAAGAACATGTTTTAAAAAATACCACAAGATTCAATCAACAAAATTTAAAAATACAGGAAATTCCTCAGACACACAACCCAGTTTCTTCAACAAATAAACGGAGACACATATAGATTAAGAAATAGGAACCGAATGCATTGCATGAGCTTGTTTGGATCCTCATCCAAATAAACCAAATCTGGAACAGCACTTGAGGTTATCACAGAAATTTTAACATTGACTGTACATTTGGTGATGTTATGCTATGTTATTTTGTTCTAGTGCAGTAATTGTAATATGGTTATGCTTTTTAAAAAATAGCTCTTATTTTTTAAGGATATATGTTGAGGCATGAAATTATACATCTGGGATTTGCTTTATAAAAAACCCAGTGGGGATAGGAGTGGGGGAAGTAGAATGAGATTGTAGGAGCCAAGGGAAGACTTCCCCTTCAACCCCTTAAAAGTTCTCTGAAAAATCAACTCACAAACGTAGATTAATAGCAAGAAGAGGCATAACAAATTTACTTGATCACACTTTTACATGACATAGGAGCCTTCAGAATGAAAACCCAAAGATAGAGGGAAAACTCTCTATTTTTATGCTTAGGTTCTATGAAGCAGGGACAGTCCTGTAGAAATGTGATTGCCCAAGAAGTGTATGATCGAATGCTAACAGACTGAGTGGGGAAACCCAGCAAGATTCTTCTTGGCCTCTCTGTGTAGCATTCATTCCTGCAGAGTATAAGGCAGGACCCTTTCTGGAATGGGGTTTTATGACCTACAATTGGACAAAGTAGGTCAGAAAATTTCTTTATGGCCGGCTCCAAGATTAGAGTATAATATTAGTTTTTATGGTTGGCTTTGGGGAAAGGGGGTTCTTGTTTCTATATCCCACCTTGGGTCAGAGGGATTCTAGTTTCTATGGCCTCAGGGGATAATGAGGCTCAGAGATGAGAGGACAGGAGAAAGTCAGAGGTTTTTATGGTTGGCTTTGGGGAAAGGGGGTTCTTGTTTCTATATCCCACCTTGGGTCAGAGTGATTCTAGTTTCTATGGCCTCAGGGGATAATGAGGCTCAGAGATGAGAGGACAGGAGAAAGTCAGATGAAAACTTAGCTTTTAAGGCTGCTTCTGAGGCCTTCACTTTGGAGTATCACTTTGAGGTATCACTTTACAAGATAAAATAAGATCAACTATAGGTTGATACTTGTTCAAGCATGGCAAGGTGACTTTGTCATTATTTCTTCCTTTGTATATGATTGAAAATTTCCATAATAAAATGTTTTAAAACAAAAACAGAGGATGGAACTATGCTGATTTGACCATGTTAATCAATTCATGCATATGGGTGAACACACACATATCACATACATATAACTAACTTCGTTATAGCTTAGGTGTTTTCCACTATTGATATTCTTGATGGTCATTAAATTAAAGCCAAGTTCACCCTATTTTAAAGCTCAGGGTTGTTTAAACTTGCAAATATAAGATTTCTTTTTTTCTTAATCATTTTTTGGGCTTGTTTTTAACTTTTTAATGCAAAACTCTTAGGACATCTCTTGGTATATAGTAAGTGTTCAAAAAAATCTATTTATACTATTATAAAGAGAAGCAAGTGTGTAACAACAGGAGATGCTATTCTCTTGAGGGTGGTCAAAAAAAATTGAGGAACTCAAAGGGGACTTCAACTTTAATTTAATTGGTCAAAATCTGAGGAGCACCTTAATTGATTTGGTTTATGGTGAGAAAATCATAATTCACTCAGCATCAGGCACTTTCTCTTTGATTCATCCTCTTTCTGCCCCTACATGTTTTTGTGTCCCCTAATCTGTGAAAGCATCAATTATAAGTCAACAGCTGCTATTTTGTTTAAGTATTTGACTTGGAATTAGTGAGTTCCTTGTCCACGGGTAGAATAAACAGCTCCATGGGTGGGGCAGTAACACCGAGAAGGGCCCTGCTAAAGCCCCTTCTTTACTCCAGCTCATGCTTAAAATGCCCATGTTGTAGTTAACTAGTTAACTGTGGCCAAAATACAACCATCCCTGCCGGTCAGGCACCCGAGCTGTATCACCCAATTACCTACTTACTATGGAAGCATTATATATCCTTAACCGGGAGAAAGCTTTGAGCAGGAAAGGCAGGAAAGAACATGAAACCACAGGGTGTCTGGGTCGGGAGAGAGCAAGGGCTGATGGGAAAGATGACACCCAAAGAGAACTTCACATAATTCACAATTTGTCTTCAGACCAATCCAGGATGCATCCTTCTCTATTATCAGCATCCTATCTGGAAGTTTCCCTGTAAACCAGCTTCCTGCCCCTATGTATTTCCTACTTACTAGTTAAAATCCCATTGCCTTATGCAACACATATATGTCATGTCCTCTGGCAGCTTGGTGTGCTGAATGTAAAGCCAGGCCTGACCTAAATAACCCAAACCTCTTTGCAAACACATTTTTTATTTGTATTAAAAGAATTCGTCAAAAGATTTATAGGTCATTGATGTAAACATGCTTTCCAGTAGGCTCCCATTTTAATCTGAGACTAGTTTAACATGTTTCTTCTCCTAAAAATTTGATTTTCATATCCCTGTCTACAGGAATGTACAATATAGGTTTTCCTTGCATCAGCATAAACAGAAATGGAAGCAGAGCAATGCACACCTAGATTTGTACATGAGACTTAATAAAAAGACTCTAGCAGGAAACTCAGTAAAATATTCACATTCAACATTCTATAAATAGGAGAATGTATAGTTTACAAAGTATATTTGACTTACTTTCTCTTTCTTGGTTTTGAATTCTCAAAATTAGAAACTTTCTGCAAAATAAAATAAAATAAATTAAAATAATAAAACAATACCACTCCAATAAATCAGAAAGAGAATTTAAGTATAGTTCATCTTCAAATATAATTCGAGTATAGTTCATTCTGCCTTTTTCCTAGTAAAAAGACTGGTGTTTTCACCCTTGTATTTTAGTAATGTGTTATAGAATCTTGGCTCAAGCTTTTATTTTTTTTCTCCTTCTGTCTTTGTAACTTTGAGAAAGGTAGAATGCTTCCTTTTTAAACTAGGGCTTATACCCTAGTATAAAGCCCTTGCCAATTTAAAAAACAAGTCTTTTAAATAAAAACATGCAATTAAATCCTCACAACCTCCACCTTCCATCCTCCATCAATCCACCAAAACCAGGGAAGGAGATACATACCAGAGTACGTTAATTATATTTTATAGTTCATTCTTTTGAGAAAGGTAGAAAGTAGCCTATCACCATACCTTGAGGGTATTGAAATACATCTGTGACTCATCTGACCTTTTTCTTCAGATCAACTGAATGTTATGTAAAATACCTTATACTTTTGGGGAAAGAATTTGTCACCACATCTTTCACCATCCTTGAAAGTGCTTATACTGCCCCAGGTATGTTTAAAAAACCTTCAGACTCTCTCTTTACAGTCCATTCACTCCACTCAAAAAACATTAACTGAACGTGATCATTATTGGGGATCAGAAAATGACATCCCAGAGTATGGCTCTTTGGCATGCAGAGTACTTTGATTTGAAGGACATTGGAAGGGCCTCAGAAGCAAAGTCTATTTCTGACCTTATCCTGTCTTCCTTTTTCCTACTCCCTTTTTCTCCCCCAAGGCAGGCCATAGAAACTAGAATTCTACTTCCCCAAGGTGAGTCATAGAAACTAGAACCCTACTCCCCCAAAGCCAGCATAAATCCTAGAAATACTTCTACAGCCTTCCCCCATCTTTCTGTATAAGAGCTGGTCATAAAGAAATTCACTAACCTACCTTGTCTGAAAGTAGATCATAAGACCGTCATTCCAGAAGAGGTCCTGCCCTACACTCAGGAGGAAGAAAAGACACACAGAGAGGCCAAGAAGAATCTGAACAGCGAGTCCTTGCTGGGTGTCCACACTCAGTCTACTACTATTAGATCATTCCCTTTTTGTTCAATCACATTTCTACATGGTGGTCCACTCTTCATTGAACCTATGCATAAAAATGGACAGGTTTCCCTTGGGTCTTTAGGTCTTCATTTCTGAAGACTCCTGTGTCATGTGAAACTTTGATTAAATAAATATGTTATGCCTTTCTTTTATTAACTTGCCTTTTGTTATAGGGATGTCGACCATGACCCTTACAATGGGGAGAAAATATATCGCACCTTTTCCACCCCTACATAGGAAACAGATCATGCTCTGGAGAGGCTTATTTGTTTGGTTGGTTTGGTATAAATTTATGTACTAAAGAAAACTGAGAACAATATTCCATGTAGGGGGGAAAACACAAATGCAAAGGCTAGGAGGAATAGTGAATGAAAATGAGAAAAAGTAAAGTTGGCTTTATCATTCTAATTGTTAATAGTATCATTCTGAGCACAGCCAAATCCAAGGTAAGCTTTCCCCTACACAGTGATTGAGGGGGCCATTTCTCTAATCCTTATTTTGTTTGTATCAAGATTTAACTGTCTAAAGACAATTTGAATTTCCTGTTTTCCCAGTTGTTGAGCAGAGCTTCACTGAAACCCCATATGCTGAAACAAGCAGTCGCCAAACTCAAGAAACAAATTTGGCCACGTTTGAAATTATTCTGGATCTCCCAAAGGATGATATCTAGTAGGGGAAAGGTGGGAAGGAGGGGTGGTTAACAACGTGGGTGTTGGAACCAAGCTCTGATGTGAGCTGGAACATGAGCAGGCCTTTGAGGAGTTAATGGTCAATTGACCACTCCTTCAATTCTCTACGCTTTGTCATTATGTGTCCTAAAAATAATCAATCTCTATCCAAAGTCTTTTATGAAATTTTCTAGGTCTTTGTCCAGATGTTCCAAACCTCAGTCCAGAAGCTCATGTGTTCCTTTCACTACGATCAGCAGCCACACACATTTAAACAGCTTTGTGATGGTCATCAGGAAGCAGCATGGCCGCCCATCTTTACAATAACTTTTTCCTGTTATATATATTTGAAACTAGGAAGGAGCAAACTCCATGTTCACATAATCTATGCAGTCTGGGCCTAATATGTCTCAATAGTCAGAATCCATTTTCCTGAGTTTCATTAATTTGTCACATGGGTTTAGATAGATCTCTTGAGATTACGAATCTTGCACTCTTCAAAATAGATTCCACCTTTTGTGAGAACAGAGAGAAGGGGTGTCTAGTCTAGAGTTAGTTTACAAAAGGTGGATTTGCAACAAGGAAGATGGGAAGCATGAGATAACTTTTGTGTTTTTAATCATTTGAATCACAGTATTTTTGAACCAAATTATTTAATTTGTCACATGGGTTTAGATAGATCTCTTGAGATTACGAATCTTGCACTCTTCAAAATATATTCCACCTTTTGTGAGAACAGAGAGAAGGGGTGTCTAGTCTAGAGTTAGTTTACAAAAGGTGAATTTGCAACAAGGAAGATGGGAAGCATGAGATAACTTTTGTGTTTTTAATCATTTGAATCACAGTATTTTTGAACCAAATTATTGCATCAATATTTCATTGTCTTTTTTGTCTTTGTTATCAAAGAGATTAATTACAGATAGCGCACAAACTTTATGTGGAACTGAGCCTGGAGTGTTTGAATTGGGAGAGAGTCCATGTTGTTCAAGCACAGGTTCCTTTTTCATCTGGATGAAGCCTTTGTCAACACTTACAATGAGGTTCTGGACCCACACAAAGCTGATTAAGTACTTATGACTGTGGATTGTGGTGAAAGGGACACAATTAGCTTTTGGATTGAGGATGGGAAACATCTGGACCAAGACTGAATTTCACACGACCATGGATAGAGGTTGGTTATTTTTAGGACATATATTGTCACAACATTTTCTAAGGACTATCCACTTTGTTCTGTCTTACTAGAATTGGGGTCATTCAATCTTTGCTTGTTATGAATCAATTTAGATTTGGTGATCTTTTGTTAAAGAATTTTCTTGTAATGAAAATACTTTGGAAAACATTTTGAGCTAAAACTTCTTTTTAATTTCTATTAAGATGAGTTAATGTAGTTCTCTTTAGGCAACCCACTTCCTACAGGGAATGTGGGTCTGTAGTGTGATTATATGAGGAAAATGGATTACTTAAACAGGGCAACATCTACTTAAGATTAACAGGTCTGTTTCCTGGATGTTGACTAGTTGTAGATTACTAATGAACCGGTTGAACTGTTTTTACCAGACTCAAAGAAGTAGTAGAAAAATGTAAACTGCTTTCAGTTGTGATTTCTGCTTACATAAAAAGACTGTCATGCACATTGGAGTTCATACCCTGAGTTCTTTATTCCTAGAGGGGCAAATCAAAGAAATATTACATACAGCTTTACTTTTGGAACTATAGCTGTGTGTGTGTATGTGTGAGTGTGTATCATACTTTGAATTCTAAAAGGAAGCTACCGTCTCAGAGAGTCAGTTAAATCTGTCTAGTCCATTAATTTAATACTTGCCATAAATACTAGGCAAATTTTACTCCTGTTAGCATTCATTTTGTTATCTCCTAGATCAAGTATTAATCATTGGTCTTACTATTCATTCACTATGGAGATTGTTGCTTAATTTCATTTTTATCCCTGACATTTGTTAGAAAAATTTAAAAAATAAAGTATAGGCAAATTATTCTGAATAAAACAGTAAAAACTAAGAAATATGTCTAACCTATGTTATTTTTAAAGTGAATGAGGATAGGCTCCAGGAGCAAAGCATTTCCACATAACTATGAAACTAGGTCAAATTTTTTAAAAAAAACAGAAATGAAGAAAGATAAGATGCCACTTAAATGAAGAGATAAATTTTAGATATCAAATGCTATATTTCTATTCTCATGCAGTGGTTACAGGTGATTGTCCTTTGGGGATGAGTCTAATATGTGCCTGTTTCTTGCCTTATTGGTTTTTAAATCTTACTTTCAAATCACAATGTCAAAAGAAAAATAAAGTGAATATGTCAGGCGTTGTTGTTGCCTAGCTAATGGAAATGTGAAAGGTGTTTCTGCACCAGAGAAAACTGATTGGCAGTAATTGATGGTATAAATCCCATGGTGAATTTTTAAGATTGTAGAACTGAGGCAATGTGACCTTTGATTTGCAAATGAATAAACTGAGGCTCAAAAAGGTAAATTGACTTGTCTAGGGTCATGCACATAATGCTTTGCCTTGATTAAATGCTAGCTCAGTTTTTTCATTCTAATATATTTCTTTGGAATTGTACAATTTATTCATTTCTACATTCACAATTTATTCAATGAATACTAATTGAGCATCTACTGTGTACCACTGTTGTAGGGGAGAAAAGATTTCTTTCCTTACTCATTACAAAGTTCATGGCTGACACCCCTATAACATAAAACAGATTAATGAGAAAAAAGCACACACATTTATTTAATAAAAGTTTTATGTGGCATGATAGCCTTCAGAAATGAAGACCCAAACAGCAAGGGAAAACTAAATATTTTTGTGAACAGTCTTGCAGAAACATGACTGGAGGACAAAAGGGTATGATATAATGGTAGCAAACAGGAGAACCTAGCAAGGCCTGTTTGTTCAGATTCTTTTTGGCCCTTCTGTGTGCATTCTTTCCTTCCAGGTACAGGACAGGATACCTGTTTCATGAGGGTCTTCAGGGGAGGGTACAGGGAAAAGTTCATAAAGTGACTTTCCTAGGTTGTATGGTCTGCTTCAGGAAGGGGGGGGGGGAGGGAAATTCTTATTTCTATGACCTGTTTCAGGAAAAAAAAGGGCAAGATGAACTTCAGTTTCTATGGCCCACTTCAGGGGGGCAGGGTGGGACAAGGTCAGACAGACCTTTCT